ACTCCCCTCCACCACCACCACCAATGTGCAGTATCCAGCCATAGTGCAGCAGAACACTCACCACACATCAGCTATCAGCAGGGAGGAGAGCAGAGTAATGAAGCCAGTTCCTAGATGGGGATTATTAGGAGGCCATGACTGGTAAGGGCCAATGGGAAATTTGGCCAGGACACCAGGTTTACACATTTACTCTTTTCAAGAAATGCCCAGAGATTTTTAATGACCACAGGGAGTCAGGACCTCAGCTTTACGTCTCATCTGAAGGACGACACCTGTTTACAGTATAGTGTGCCCCTCATTATACTGGACCATTAGGACCCCTGCTGGTCCCACTAACACCTCTTCCAGCAGCCACCTTAGTTTTTCCCAGGAGGTCTCCCATCCAGGTATTGATCAGGCTCACACCTGCTTAGCTTCAGTGGGTTGCCAGTTGTGAGCTGCAGAGTGATATGGCTGCTGGCTACCAGGGGGTTGACAAATAGGGGGGGCATGATGACAGTGAACTGGTGCTCGGGGGGCATGGCCGAGGCAGACAACTCCAAGGAGTCCAGGGGGAAATCCGGGGCGAAGTCCAAGGTCTAAAACCGGGTGATCCATCCAAGACGAGACAAAACATGGTTAAAAACCAGAACGGGATCCTGTACAGGGACAGGGAATAAAAACAGGACGACGAGGCAAGGTGCTCCAAGCTCAGATGGTCAGGACTCCGTGATGAAGCCTATGCCATTGGGTCTCTCCTGGACCCGCTGGTAGGCAGGCTTCTGGGCATCCATCTCTCAATTCTGAGTCTGGAATAGCAAGAGTGCCAGGCTTAAATAAGGAGGGGCAGGATTGGGGGCAGGTGCATGAAAGAGCAGGAGCGCCCTTAAGAGGAGGGATTATGATTGTGACAGCCTATAGCTGTAGAAACCAGAGCATGCAGAAGAAAACCATGTGAACAGGGGGAGAACATACAGATAGCACTTGGGGAATTGAACCCAGTGCAGCAACACTACAAAACAGCAATGCTAACCACTGCACCACCATGCCACACTGAAAGTACACCCTGCGAAGCGACATGAGTGAGTCACCAAATTCAAATATTAGGATGATTGGAAACTAAATTTTTACTGTGTAAGAAAACGTCTTCCTCTGTAACATTCAAATCCCAATTACAAATAGTAGCAGCTACTACAGTATATGTTCAGGTGGGTTGCTGCGTCAGCATGCGTAGGCTGCAAAGGAACAAGTAATAGGTTTATTCCATGCTGAAAAAAAGAAGAAAGAGAACACAACGTTTCAGCCGTGGAGCCTTCTTCAGGTGTGAGAGAGACAAGGCAGTAGGCAAAGGTAAAGCAGCGGATAACAAAGGTTGGGAGGAGGAGTGAGAGGAGGGAGCAGGGGATAGAAAGAGAGGCCAATCAAGAGGTGTGAAGTCAGAATGGGTGTAGAGAGGTGTGAAATGAAACTTCCAATGAGTGGAGAAAATTTTAAAGAAGAGTAGTCTGTCGTTAAGAGAACGGAGAATGTGTGATGCTAGATGCAGGATAATTTTGGTTTCGGTAGTCTTTCTGATGTATGAGTTTGGAAAACCGTCTTTGAGAACACAGACGGAGAGATTAGAGTGGTTGTGGCTGTCAGAGGGGAAATGAGAAAAAATGGGCTTGGAGAGATCTTTAATCTTCACAGCCCTGACGTGTTCTCTGAAGCGGTCTCCGAGTCTCCTTTTTGGTTCTCCAATGTAGATGGCTGGGCATTTACTGCAAGAGATACAGTAAATAAGGTTGCTGGAGGTACAAGATGCTGTCTGGGTGATCCGGAATTGTCCTGAGGGGCCTTTAATGAGGGTGGTGTTAGATGTGTACTTGCAGGTGATACAGCGAGCTCTGTTGCAAGGGAAAGGCCTGGTGTGGATGGTTGTTGAGGGCGGTCAAGGGAGCTGTGAACAAGGAGGTTACGCAGATTAGGTGGTCTGCGATATGAGATGATGGGGTGGTTAGAAAAGAGGGCCCCAATGGAGGGATCATCCTGTAGGATGGAAAAGTTGTGGTTAATAGTCCCGGGGATAGGGAGTGTGTAAGGGTGGTAAGGAAGCACCAAAGGAATGCGGTTGTTACGGCGGGAGTTCCTGATCGGGTTGATGGTCCGAGAGGTGTTTTTGGCTCGGGCAAGGGCCCTGTCAATCACACTGCTGGGGTATCCTCTGTTGATGAAAAAGTAGTACATTTTGAGGGCTTGAATCTCAAAGTCTATGTCGTCGCTGCACAATCGTCGTAGACTAAGGAACTGTGAAAAAGGGAGAGAGTTTTTAGTGTGTTTGGGGTGAAATGAGCTATACAGGAGGTAGTAGTTCAGGTGGGTAGCTGCGTCAGCATGCGTAGGCTGCAAAGGAACAAGTAATAGGTTTATTCCATGCTGAAAAAAAGAAGAAAGAGAACACAAAGTTTCGGCCGAAACGTTGTGTTCTCTTTCTTCTTTTTTTCAGCATGGAATAAACCTATTACTTGTTCCTATACAGGAGGTAGCTGTGTGAATCCGTGGGTTTGTAATAAACCGAAGTGGAGAGTCGGGGGTAGTTGATGGAGAAGTTAATGTCTAGAAATGGAAGAGTAGTGGAAGATATGTTAACCATATATTTGAGGGACGGGTGGAAGTTGGTGAAATGGTGCAGGAAGCACTCAAGCAGATCGTTAGAGCATGTGGCGGTACCAACGCAGTCATCAATATACCGCTTGTAGAGGTCAGGGACAGAACCAGTGTAGGAAGCAAAGAAGCATTTTTCTACCCAGCCGACAAAAATATTAGCATAGCTGGGTCCCATTCTGGTGCCCATGGCAACTCCACTAACCTGTTGGTAAAAAAGATTATTGAAAGAGAATGCGTTCAGTGTGAGGAGCAATTCTGCAAGGCGTACCAGGGTGTGGGTGGGTGGATCAAGCACTGTAGGTTTGTCCAGCGTGTACTTGAGGGCATATACTACAGTATATGTTTGTCTCAAACTGAATAAGACAGGAGTTAGTTTGTTTTGCCATTGTGTGTCTCTATGTTGGCCCACCAGGTAGATACTATATATTTGTTCTGACCAAACTATCCTATTCTCCTCCCCACATGTCCGGATGGTGCCTGGGCTGGGTACCGTCTGAATTGGATGCTGCATCGCCACCATGGATCCAAGAGGGGCGTCGTTGATATAGTTATCATTTAGTAGGATTTTGCTGGTCTACAGAGATCTGCATGGAGTACTGACATACAGAAGACATGATAGATGGATGGATTAATACCCCCATTCATTTATTTCCTTTTTTTAATTATATAATGTTAGCATGCCCAAAGGGATTGGGCAGCGAGTTGACCTTGGACCCCTAGAGGTTTTTTTTTCCTCCTTACTAAGGAGTTTTTGGTTCCTCTCCTCCGTTGTTTTCTGGTCCTCTGTTCTGTATTCACAAAATGTATGGATACTTGCATTGTTAAGCGCCTTGGGGCAACCTTGTTGTGAAAAGCGCTATATAAAACTAAATTGAATTGAATTAAATTGAAATTCAATAGGCTATGCATTGAGAGCAAAGACAAACTCACTCTATAGTTATTCCGGAAGCATGGTTTGCAGAATACAGTACAAACATAAAATAGAGGAACTGAATACTGTAGCTTGTATTGACATGGCATGAATGTGCATACTGCAGTGATTTCCCTTTGTTTCCCGATGCAGAGTCGGAATTGTACAAACAGAGTCATCAGACGGTAACTGCAGCTCACTGACTTTATTAACTTTTTCAGTTAAACAGGTGTACTAGTCAGAGAGAAGTGAATTATGGAGGGGAGCATGGACAGACGAAATGGGTATTGCAGTGTAGTCTGGGGCTCGGGAGGAGAGAGAGTGGAGGGAAGATGACACTATCTTTATCACTCCAAAAGAAGCAAATTAATTGTAAACAGTTTATGATTATGGATATAAGGACAGTGGGAATGGCATTTTTCTTTTATTTTTTGAGTCTGTTCACTGATTATATAAAGGTCTCTCCAAATTATACCAAAGACTTTAGACTTTATAAATCATTTGTAACTGGAACTTCCATTAGATATTGTAGATTCATAGACAGCCCCCATAATTACAAACATTATTACAGCTACTGTATAAGCAACTGTATTGGTGGAACTATACATTATAATAAACGAACACTTCACCAATAGGCTACTATACATGCATCTGTTTTTATGTGTGTATTAGTCGCATACATCTGTATTTCGAAGGCTATACCATGCACACATAATTCTGTACAGTTCTAGAGCTGCAATCAATGTCTGTTACAGCGCTGCTATGAATAGGAACAGTCGCGAAAGAACTTGGAAGACAAGGAATAAGTAACTTGGAAGTAAGGAGTGAGCAAAGAAAATCTGCAAGTGATTAGTTATGAGACTTTTCATATCTAATCAAGTTAAACTATTTTCAATAATTTAACAAGAAATAATCAGATTTGCATCTTAAAATCTGAATAATTTAATAATTCTAGATTCGTATTAATTTGTAAATGGTAGAAATTCCGTGTACGTATTCAAAGGCGATATTCACACTGTATGAAAATACATTTTCTTAATATAGAAATGAAGGTACTGTAAATCATTTATATAATGCTATCTTTCCTTTTCTGCAAAGGAACAACAAAATATTTTAGTAGACTATCTGCTGTGCTACACTTAACCCTATATGAACATAATTTAAGAATCGGTGATTTTAGAAGTTCTAGAAGTCAGACACAGGTGTATTGAGTTTTACGTAAACATTAAGCAGAAAGAACTGATTTTTTGCTGTGCGATTTTAATTGTAGAGTCGCTCCAATGTATGATACTTGGCACGTGAAAATCCTACAAATTAATCCTTATAGGCCAAAATGGTTAAATAATGTATAGTTTATGACCTTTTATGGCTGTTGTTCTCTGGCATTAGGGGATTTGTAGTTTCCATTTAAGTATCAGTGGTAAATTACTTCAAATTTCATATTCACATCCTGACGCATCCTGTAAGTCTACTACATTTCCTACATTTCCTCCTGATTTTTGCGCCTGCGCAGACTACAGCACGGGAGCTGTTCTCATCAAACGGTGCTGGTCGGGTATCATTGCTAGATAAGTTGGTCTTGCGTTGTGCATGTATTTTATGGAAGCGATGGATGAAGAATTAAAATGCCCCGTTTGCGGCTCCTTTTTCCGGGACCCCATCATTTTACCGTGTTCTCACAATGTGTGCTTGGCGTGCGCCCGCAATATCATTGTGCAGACCCCAGAAGGCGAAGGAGCTCTGCACAGCCGTGCCTCTGGAAACTCCGACTACGACTACCTTGATATGGACAAAATGAGTATGTACAGCGAAACGGACAGCGGCTATGGATCCTATACTCCGTGCCTCAAATCTCCCAATGGGGTGAGGGTGTTTCCCCCAGCGCCAGTGCACCGTCACTGCTCCATCACCTGCCCCTTGTGTCATCGTAGCGTCTCCTTGGACGAGAGAGGACTACGAGGCTTCCCACGCAACCGACTCCTTGAGGCGATTGTGTGCAGGTATCAGCAGAGCCGCTCGGTGTCAGTTAAGTGCCAGCTTTGTGACCGCAATCCTGTCGAAGCCACGGTGATGTGCGAGCAGTGCGATGTCTTTTACTGCACGCCGTGCCAGCAGCGCTGCCATCCTTCCCGCGGACCGCTGGCGAAGCACCGCCTGGTGCCCCCGAGCCAAGCGCCCGGCGGAAACCAACCACAGATGTCCGCAGCTCGGAAAATGAGCACCTGTACCGAGCACGACCTGGAGAACTACAGTATGTACTGCGTCAGTTGCAAAACACCAGTGTGTTACCAGTGCCTAGAGGAAAGCAAGCACGGACAGCACGACGTCAAAGCCCTGGGAGCGATGTGGAAATTGCACAAGGTAGGCTAAGAGGCGGGCGAAGTGTAGTTGGTTGGGAACAGCTATAACATGCTGGTTTGTTCAAGCATCCTGTGATGACTCTCCCAAAGTTTCGTTCTAAAGGAGCAAACTTTATTTAAACAACATACTGTACTACTATCTTAAAAGTAGTTTCTGCAAAACCGCTCAGGGACTTTGATCCAAAAGAGCCACAGTATAATTAAAATACAGCGATTAGTGTCTTGACAAATCTGATTTGTTGTTTTGAACATAATACTGTAAATACACCCCTATTTAATTTGTGTCATTTGATGAAACTAAAGTGTAATAGTAGTTGAGAACTAACTACTGACTGACAGATGACCATAGTTTTTATTACATTTACTGTAGAACAATTATTATTGATTTATTTGTTTGATCCTTAACTGTATACAGTATCCAAAATGAGTTTTATCTGTACCCATTTATGCGGCTGGGTATTTTACTGGAGCAATTTAAGAGAAATATTTCACTCAGAGATAAAACAGCAGTGCCCCGTTCTGATCTGATTGTTGAATATATTATGCTCACAGTGGTGTTAATTATAATCATTGGATTTGGCTGTGAATATTTGCAATTGCAATTTAAACATGTTTAATTGTTTTAATCATAAGCTGGTTTCATGGGATTCATGTCCTCATTAACTGAGTAAAACAAAAGAAATGTAATCACTGAGTCTATTAATTAATTTTGTTGTCCTGTGGAATCCCATTATAGAATGACATAATTTATGCAGTAGAATGAAATTATCCATTGCAAATCTATTCCTAAACACATAAACTATTTTTACATTTGTAAATTTTTAATTGAACACGAATTGTTGTTTCGGATGAAGTAGAATAGTTGCCAATCTTGAGTTAGTTCAATAGATGTAGTACAGTTCACATAGGTATTTCTGTAACCACTGTTGTTTATGCACGTCTGATGATTTGGAAGGCTGTGGGAATGCACTGATATTGACATTTAATGTGTAAAAGTGCACAGTGCTCCATGTAGGTAACAAGCTATATACAATGGAAGTGAGCTTTGAGATGATACTGTACTTATAGAAAGATTTAGGTACTTACTTTGACACATCATTTTAATCTTCTAGACAACTGCAGAGAAACAATATCAAGGCAAATAGTATGTTAGGATATGTAGTTAAAAGTGTAGGAATTAAGTCAAGGGATGTTAAAATTGTTCAATGGGTAATATCTCCTCTAAATTATTATTAAGAATTTTGGTCACCGCAATACAAAAAAAGATTTGCTGCTCTAGAAATAGTGTAGAGAGGGGTGACCAAGTACACTGACAGACTACAAGAATCAAATCATTTTAGCCTTGAACAGAGAAGACTGTAAGGGGACCTACTGTAAGTTCAAGTTCAAGTTTATTGTCGTAAGTACCTGAATACAATGAAATGCTTACTTGCATGTTTTTCTCACATGACAAATGACATAACAGATGACATAAAGTATGACATACTGTAACATTGACAAAGAGAATGACATAACAAATTACATCACTATTCCTGGAGACAGGAACAGGTTAGCAGCTATAATATAATTCAAGTATGCAAAATCCTCAAGGGCACTGGCAAAGGCAATGGAGGCATTTTGAAGTCTGTAACAAGCTTCTCTTATGTGTTATTGAAACTGATACATCTTTCATGATATTGGCAAGATGAGCTCATCAGTTTAATTAGCTACTAAACAAGCTTGATAGGCCAAATGGCCTTGTCTCATTTGTACATGCTCATTTATATTTATATTATAGTGCTTGTGCTTGCTTTACTGTTTGCACCTTTACTGAGACTTTTGAGTTTTTCTGCCAGTGACAGATCAAATATTCTCTACAAATCTTAGATCCTCTGCAGATCTTGACTATGTTCTTGATAAATGTGATTGAAAACATGCTGTGTGATTTAATTTGTTCAGTATTACAACAGTGAGGGCTTACTTTACTGTATATGAACTTCAGAACAAGAAACTTCTGATCTTTGCTCAAACACATAGTGGTTGACATGTGTTTAGGAAGTATAATGACTTTGCTTTGTCCTAATGTCTGGGATTTGATTTAAACAGTCTTTAAGGTCATGCTTTGTACTATGTTAAAACGTAGTCACTAAGTGAATTCTAGTCATGACAACAGAAAAGCAACATTCTTTGCTATTTGTATATTTTAAAGCTTTTACCTAGTGTTGATATGTCTCTAGTGGGCTCAGAAGTGTGCTTTCCTACTCAGAAACAAAATTGTGCTCACAAAGCGAGGCAGTGGATTCCATATTAAGTACTGAATTATAATTGGTGGACATTGATTACCAGCAGTATCTACCTGCTTGTGTTTTGAGGTGATGCATGGGTCTGTCCTCAATACTTTTGATGGTGTTATCTTAGACCAGTTCATCGCTTTGAGAACTAAGACAGTAAAAACACTTTGATTTGGATTTCTTCTGACTGAGATGGCTATTCTTGATTAGAATGCATGTCTCCTACCTTGAGGGGTTTCCTCCCTCATTAACAGATTTTTCTAGTATTTTGTGAGAAGGGCAGTGTGTTTGGACTTTCATTATTAGTGGTTAGACAGACCCCAGCATTGCTTTCAGGATGTCTGGTATGACTCCCTAGGTCTTGTCTGAGTTAAGCTGTCAAGCTAAGATAGCAGATGGCCTTGTGGAATAAAACCAATATTCTACTCCAGTGTTGACACACAGTGCTTAGATGCTTATCTATCCTTTATGTGCCTCGTACCACAACTCATTATAAAACAAAACAAAAATAAAAAAAAATGGTGATATAATATTCATTTGACTAATGCTTTCATGCAGAGTAATGGACAGTGCAGTAGGGCATTTTACTGTAGCACCGTTACAACCTCTTGTTGAAGATTACAACAGCAGTATCCCACCTGAAACGTGAACCTACTGTATAACTTTCTAGTTACAAAACCAGATCCCTACCAATTGCACCCTGCTGCCACCTTGCATTAAGATAAGAGAATAATAATACACTGGTATAATGCTGCTAATAACTAGCACTCCTGTAAACAGTGTACTGTAAGTATGAAAGAGCAAGACAATAATTTTAATACTTTAGATTCAGCCAGTTCTGAAAGGTCCTACTTTTCTACATACTACAGAATAATCCCAAAGTGACTGATCTAGTTCTGTTCTTTTCTGAGCATGTCTTCTGGATGGATCAGCCCCTCAGAGATTTATAGGCCTCTTGTGATAAGACTGTTTCTCATTGGCAACGGGACCTGTCCCTCTGCTTAATTACACTGAATTGGTCTGCAGAGATGTTAGCATTATAACCCCCAGCATTACAAAGCTAATGTAAAGCACTAATAATTAAACCCACAACCTGACCACCATTTGGGTAATGAGAAAAGAGAGGTCGACATAAGATCTGTGGTCCTCTGAGTCTTTCTGAGTTTACTAAATACCATTTGACAGTTTGTACCAGGTCATTTTGTAACTAACTAGTATAGCCCTTTAGTGAGGCATGATATGAACACCAAGCTGCTTTAATAATATTGATTGGCTAAATGTAGATTACCAGATGTTTATGATTTTTGTGAGTGTTTAAGGGGAAGCTAGTGTGATTTTTACAAGTTTAAGAAAATACATTTATTTATGAGCACGGGTTGTTCAGTATCCTCTTTTTGGTTTGGAATCTGTTTTTTTTTAATTGATCCTAGTCCTTTAATAATTCTCCAAAGCAATCAGAATCAATTTACGCACAGTAGTTTGGGGACGTGTTCTAACTATCCACAATCGTGTGGAATTCTGATGGGCACCTATACGGCTGCTAGCCTTAATCATGTTGAGACCCTCTGAACTTTGTGGTAGCAGTATAGAGTAGTGATTAGGATTCTGGATTGCATGGGTGTGGATTCAAATCCCAAGTGTGATGCTGCTATTGTACCCATTAGCATAGTTCTTATGATCTCAGATCATCATTGTAAAATGCTTTGTTTTCAGTTGACTTCTCTGATTGAATAAAGGATTCGGTAAATCTTGGTGCATTCTGTCTTCAGAAGTCTTGCCGTGCCTTTAGCTTAAACGTTGTGCTATCTACTGTCTGTCATTGCTTCCTTCCTACTGAGCAGCACAGATGCAGACAGGGTAGGACACTGTTGTAGTCCTGATTGGCAAGTAAGAAAACTGAAATGGTTTGTTGTCTTGGTATTTCAGTGTATATCTACAGGGACTCTGTTCACCACAAGACCGTAAAACAATATTTTAGCAGTGATAACTGACCACAGTTTTTTCCTCTTTTTATTATATACAGTATATGATGTCTTAACAAACCACCATAGATAACAAACCAAATGTGGGAGCTATGAGGATCTGAGTTGTGCTTGCTTTCCCTGATCAATTAAGAAAAATTGCATATTTAAGAGCGTATTTCATGTGATATTCTATAGCACGTTTGGTGACATGGGAATTCTGGTGAAAGTGACCCTAGTGACAGCAGTGATAACTGTGCAACCATTTAGTGGTTGATATTCTGTCCTGATGTCTCTGGGATAGGGAAATGCAAGTCTAGCTGTTTTAATGCTTAGTCCAGAGGCAGGCTGCCTTTGTGTAAAAATTAAAATCTGAAAAGTAAGCGTTTAAGCCGTTGACTGAATGTTGCTGTCAATTCCAATAAATAATGGAATCCATCCGGAAGGCAGAAATCCTCAGAAGCTGGAGACAGCATGCCTCTGTCTCCCGGATTTAGCTCATGTAGCTTTATTTTGCAGGTGATATTAATACATAGTTATTCAAGTGTGTTAGATGAGCCTTTGTGTACTGGCTTTTGTACAAAATTTGGACTTTACAAAGGACTGTTGTATGGACGGGACTGATGGAGAATTGCATTTTTTGTGATCTTAGTGCTGTATATGAACTGCCATATGTTGGAAGGCAAATGATATATACTGCATGAGTTTTTCTGGTAAATAATAAATACCGTAATAAAACGGTAGTGCAGTGTTTTCACAGACACACATAT